TTTTAAAGTGTTAAAGAGTAAAAAAGTCAGTTTAAGGGCTAAGGGAAACCTGACCCAAGTCATAGTATTTTCAGTCATCTCATATGCTTATGAAAGTAGGACAGTGAATAAGGAGTATCATAGACAAATCTGTGCCTTTGAATTATGGTGGTTGGTGAAGAATTTTGAACATACCACAGACTGCCTGAAGAACATACAGCTCTGTCTTGGAAGAAGTACAGCCACAATGCTTCTGAGAAGCAAAGATGATAAAACTTCATCACTTGTGCATTGAACATGTCATCAGGAAGCACCAGTCTCTGGAGAATGACATGCTTGGTAAAGTGGAGGATTAGGAAAAAAGAGGAAGACCCCTGATGAGATGGAATGACATGGTCACAACAACAATGGGCTCAAACATAAGGAAGATTTTGAGGATGGTGCAGAACAAGGCATTGTTTCCTTCTTTTGTGCATAGGGTCACTATGTTGTTGTTGTTAGGGGCTGCTGAGTTGGTTCCAACTCATAATGACCCTGTGCACAACAGAACAATACACTGTCTAGTCCGGCACCATCCTCACAATCAATCCTGTGCTTGAGCCCTTTGTTGCAGCCAGTCTTTCTTTCTTACAGAGTCTTCCTCTTTTACTCGGACCCTCTACACAGTATGATGTACTTTTCCAGGGTCTTGTCCTTCTTGATAACATGTCCAGAGTATGTGTTTTGCTGTGCTTGTTCTTCCAACAGTACATGGCATATTTAATATTCTTACCAACGCCATTGTTCTAAGGCATCAATTCTCAGCTTTCACATGCATATGAAGTGATTGAAAATACTATGTCTGAGGGCAGGTGCATCTTAATCTTTAAAGTGACTTTAGCTTTTTAACATTTTAAAAGGGATCTTTTGCAGCAGGTGTGCCCAATGCAATGCGGCATTTGATTCCCTGACTGCTGCTTTCATGGTTTCCATGATTGTGGATCCAAGTAAAATGAAATCCTTGACAATCCTTGTTGTGAAGATTTTTGTTTTCTTTATGTTGAGGTGCAATCCATTGATCTTCATAAGTAAGTGATTCAAGTTCTCTTCAATTTTTAGTAAGCAGTGTTGTGTGATTTGCATATGACCAATTGTTAAGTGAGTCTTCATCCGACTTTTATATTCATTCATTTTCAAGTGTAGCAGTATTCAGATGTTTATCCATTGATTAAAAGGGAACTGCAGGTGAGTAGTAATTTTTTTGCTATTTTTTTTTTTTTTCTTTTTTAGGGAAGAAATGTCTTCTATAAAAATAAGTCCAAACAGGGAATTAATTTCCCAGTTTCACTGTTCAGCTGCCGAAGGGGACATTGCCAGGGTAACAGTAATACTCACTCATTCTCCATCTCTTCTCAATGAAACTTCTGAAAATGACTGGACTGCCTTAATGTATGCTGCACGGAATGGGCACCCAGCTGTTGTCCAGTTTCTGCTTGAGAAAGGGTAAATATTTAAATTTCTATGTCATGTTCCCATTTAAACATTTTTAGTAGCTACACTTATATCTTTGAGGTAGTAAATAACTCACTGACCAGCTTGTTACATAAAATATAGCATAAATTCTAATAGAAACATTTAACTCATTTCTTGAGAAATTAACTTTTATATTTGATAGCAAAGCAAATTTATGAGTTAGTCAAATAGTTTTCATCCAAAATGTTGTTGTTGTTTAGTGCTTTCGAGTCAGTTCTGACCCATAGCAACCCTGTATAGGGTTTCCAAGGAGCAGCTGGTGAGCTTGAACTGCAGACCTTGCAATTCAAATGATTTTGCAGACTGGCTCATTAACTCACGGCACTATACCAGGTGTCCGTCATCCAAAATAAAAAATGTAAATCAACTAACCACAGCTATCAAGGACTACTTGGAGAATTTTAGTAACTCCTTGTAGCACAAGAAAAACACTGCCTTTTAATGGTATAAGTTATTCTTCAGAAAGTTTACTTCTTTCAATTTCCCAGTAGTAAATTACATTTTTGTTAAGTGCTGTAGAGTCGGTTCCAACTCATAGCAACCTTGGGTAGAGTTTCCCAGGAGCAGCTGGTAAATTTGAACTGACTTTGCGGTTCAAATCGACCTTATGGCCAAGTGCTTATCCTACATTGCTACACCAGATGCCAGTAAATTGTTGTTGTTAAGTTCTGTCAAGTCGGTTCCGACCAAAAGCGACCCCATATAGGGTTCCCGAGGAACGGCTGGTGAGTGTGAACCTGTAGCACCACACCAGGACTCCCAGTAAATTTTGGTGTGGCACTTTGGGTTAATGCGCCAGACTGCAAAGCCGTTTGAACTGCAAGGTCGGCGGTTCTCAGCAGCCGCTCCTTGGAAACCCTATACAGGGTCACTATGGGTCTGAATTGATTGTACGGCACTTAACAACAACAACAAAAAGTTAATTGTTGTTAGTTGCCATTGAGTTGATTTCAATGTAGGGCAATCCTGTGTGTTTCAAAGTGAAACTGTGCTCCACAGGATTTTCAGTGACTATTATCTTTCAGAAAGGAGCTCTGGTAGCGTAGTGGTTACGAATAGGGCTGCAAACCACAAGGTCAGCAGTTCAAAACTACCAGCTGTTCCGTGGGGAAAGATGAGGCTTTCTGTTCCCGTAAAGATTTGCAGCCTTGGAAACCCTGTACAGGGTCGCTATGAGTCAAAAACAACTCCACAGCACTTAACAACCACAACAACATTATCTTTCTGAAGTAGAACACCAGATCTTTCTTCCGCTCATCTGTCAGTTTGTCGTGCTGTGGTGGATTGTGAGTTGCTGTGATTTTGGAAGCTATGCCACTGGTATTGTAAATAACCAGCAAGGTCACCCATGGTGGACAGAATTCTGATGAGCTTCCAGACATAGACAGACTAGGAAGAAAGAGTGACGAACTACTTCCGAATCTTTAGTCACTGAAAACCTTATGAATAGCAGAGAAATTTTCCAAGAATCATTAAATAGAAGAGAGCTATAGTGTGGATCTGAAAGTATTTTAATGAACTATTTACTGGAGAAGATACTTACTTCCCATTTTGTTTTTCCTCTCCTCTGTAGGTGTGACAGGTCCATTGTCAATAAATCAAAGCAGACTGCACTGGATATTGCTAAATTTTGGGGTTATAAGCATATAGCTAACTTACTAGCTAATGCTAAAGGTGGAAAGAAACCTTGGTTCTTAACCAATGAAGTAGAAGAATGTGAAAATTATTTTAGCAGGACCCTGCTAGACCGGAAGAGTGAAAAAAGAAATGATTCTGACTGGCTACTAGCTAAAGAAAGCCATCCAGCTACAGTTTATATCCTTTTCTCAGATTTAAATCCCTTGGTTACTCTAGGTGGCAATAAAGAAAGTTTTCAACAGCCAGAAGTCAGGCTTTGTCAGCTGAACTACACAGATATAAAGGATTATTTGGCCCAGCGTGAGAAAATCACCTTGATTTTCCTTGGAGTAGAACTTGAAATGAGAAAAGAGTTATTGAATTATGCTGGAGAAACCCCAAAAGAAGTGGAAGATGGGTTGGTTGCCTGGTTTGCTCTAGGTATTGATCCTATTGCTGCTGAAGAATTTAAGCAAAGACATGAACATTGTTATTTTCTTCATCCTCCAATGCCAGCACTTCTACAATTAAAAGAAAAGGAAGCTGGTAAGAAGTTTCCATGTATTGATAGTAATCTGGTTTTTGGAATGGGGTTAGAGTTGTATCTGTGTTTTTCCATTGAGCAGTGAGATTAGGCCACTTTTATTAGAGACCTTTAAGAGTTGATCCTAGAAGACTACTGTCCTGGACAGTTACAGCAACTTTTAATCAGTTAAGACTAGTTTCTGCTGAACTAACCTTTATCCATGCTGTTTTCATTCAGTTATCAAATGAATAATTATTACCTACTGTACACTCAGATTCCTGGTGTGGTACTGTGGGTTAATGCTCTGGACAGCAAAGTCAGTTTGAACCGCAAGATTAGTGGTTGAAGCTCACCAGTCACTCCTTGGAAACCCTATACAGGATCACTATGGGTAGGAACCAACTTAACAACACTTTACAACAACAACTGTGCACTCATCATAATGGCTAGGCCAGATCATTCAGGGCATTAAAATCCATGTGAAGAAGTTAGAGTTTTATTGTACATGTCACTAGATATTGGAATATCATCTGATTTTTGTTAAGTACCAGAACAAAAATCCTCATAATGACTATTCCATAGAGCGTGAATTATAGCTAATAAAGTGTGGGAATCAAAATTCTTATTGAGAGGGAATTGGGGATTGCACTAGCCCAGGTAAGATATTGCAGTGGCAATGGAGAAAAAGATAGTGAGATGCATGCAAAGGGTTGATCTGTAAATTGACACAATTTTAAGAGAGAGGTGATGGTACCTAGACTATGGCCCAAATGTAAGGTGGTAACAGTAGAGAGGGTGGAAAAGGCACAGTTTAAGATGTATGTTGCAAATAAAATCAGTAGTACTTACTGTTGAACTGGGTATGAGATGTACAGGAATGATAGAAAAGATCAAGAATGGCTCCTACATTTAAGACTTTAGTAAGTCGACAGATAGTCATACAATTTCTTGATTGAAAAATAAGTGTTAGGTGGAGCAAGGGAAACAGGACAAACTTGGAGTAAATAAACCAAGTTTGGGACATGTTGTGTTTTAGGGAAGAGTATTAAAATCTGGAACTCGGAAGAGAGGTCTAAATTTAGAAGTCAGGCCATAGCAAAGAGCCAACAAAGAAAGGAGTTGGAGACTGTGAGACACTGTTGTTGTTCTGAGCCATTGAGTTGGTTCCTACTCATAGCAACCTTGTGTAGGGTTTCTGAAGAGTGGCAGGTGGGTTTGAACAGCCGACCCTGTGGGCTACTGCATTATCCTGTAGCTAGGAGGAAACCAGGAGAAGATGCTTTAGGAAACCAAAAGAAGTGTTTCAGGGTAGGAGTGTTCCATTGTGTTGAATGCTATTGAGTAAATTGAGGACAGAGATTTTTTGAAAATGCTGTTTGGTTCTGGTAATATGAAGTAATTTATGAATTTGACAGGAAGAGTATCAGTGGATGTAAGGAACAAAAGCCAAATATGAAAGATTGAAGAGTTAGTGGGGGTAAGGAAGGTGTGATTTATCAAGGGCCACTGTCCCATAGATAATGTAGAGGCTGTTTGGATGCCTCATCCACACCTGTGGAAAAATGATTGGACTTTTAAAGGAAACACATTTTCTTTAGAGCTGCATACATTTCACATTTCAAAAGGATCTTAATAATGAATTAGTCTAGCTTAAAAAAAAAAAACTACTAAGGAAACCAAATTATTTTTCTGACTTGCTTTATAACCTTACACAGTTACCATCTCTGTGCATTAGTTTCCTCCATTATGCAATGAGGATAATGACAGTACCTACCTACCAAATAGGGTTGTTCTAATATTAAAGAGAAAACCTATACCAAACCCATTGCCACTGAGTCAATTCCAATGCAGGGTGAGCCTACAACAGAATGTTGTTGTTGCTGATAAGTGCCTTCCAGTTGGTTCCAACCCTTGGAGACCCTGTATTAGGGTTTCCAAGGAGCATCTGGTGAGCTTGAACTGCTGACCTTGTGGTTCAGAGTGATTTTGTAGTCCAGCACATTTAACCCACAGTGCCACACCATGACTCCATAGCAGAATAGAACTGGCTATAAATCTTTATGGAAGCAGACTGGCACATCTTTCTCCTGTGGAGCAGCTGGTACGTTTTAACTGCTGACCTTTCAGTTAACCTCTGAACCACCAGGTGTCCACAAACATGAAATAACTGTATATATGTTTGTATGTGTGTCTATGTATATAAATGTTGTTAAGTGCTGCCGAGTTGGTTTCAACTCATAGCAACCCTGAACAGGGTTTCTGAGGAGTGGCTTGCGAGTTTGAACCACTGACCTCTGAAGCCCACCAGGAGCCCTTATATGGTGTAAAATTTACTGTGCTCAACTGCTAACTGAAAATTTGGAGGTTTGAGTTTATCCAGCAGTACCAAATAAGAAAGTTCTGGCAATCTACTTGTAAATAATCAGCTATTGAAAAATCTATGGACCATAACTGTACATGGTTATGTACAGCACACATGGGATGTGCTGGAATCAACTTGATGACAACTACTTTGTAACAGATCATGTATTAAAGGGAGTTCAAATCTGTCAAATATTTGAAATGTAGCATTTTTTCTTATATTGCCACAATTGTAATACTTCTGATCAGATCATATTAGTTATTTCTTGATGCACCAAGGTTGTTGTTATTATTTATATATACCTTGTTGTTGTTATGTGCCATGGAGTTGGTTCTGACTCATAGCAACCCTGTACAGATGTTTCCGAGGCTGTAAAACTTTATGAAGCAAAAAGCCTTATCTTTTTCCTGTGGAAGAGCTGTTAGTTTCAAACTGCTGATCGTGAGATTAGCAGCCCGATTTGTATCCACTATGCTACCAGAGCTCCTTATACACGTATGTAGTCAATTCCAACTCATTGTTTTTAGAAGCCATAGAGTTGTTACCAACTCAGAGTGACCCTATGCATAACAGAATGAAACACTGCCCGATCCTGGGCCAACCTCACAATCTTTGCTACCTTTGAGCCCATTGTTGCTGCCACTGTACCAGTCCATCTCGTTGGGAGTCTTCCTCGTTTTCTCCGACCCTCCACTCTACTGAACGTGATATCCTTCTCCAGTGACGGGTCTCTTCTGACAATATGTCCTAAGTATGAAAAGCAAAGTCTGGCCATTCTGGAGTACTGGCTTCCAAGGAGTACTCTGGCTATACATCTTCTAACACAAATCTATTTGTTCTTTTGGCAGCCCATGGTACTTTCAGTATTCTCCAACTCCATAACTCAAATGCCTCAATTCTTCTACAGTCTTTCTTATTCACTATCCAACTTTTGCATATGTATGAGGTTATTGAAAATACTATGGCTTGCATCAGGCACATCTTAATATATATATATATACTAAAATTGATCATGTATTTCTTTCATGAGCATATGAGCAAAATTAAGTACAAATCTTTTAGATGCAGTGTTTTTTTATACAATATTGTAAACAGGATATGTTTCAAAATGACATGGATCAGCAGTAGTTTAATCACCAAGGAAGAATGTGAAGTGGGTTTCCTATGGTTTCTTAGAAATTCTTTGGTGGGAAATATAGAAATGCAAGTCTAAGTAAAGAATTGCTTTTGTACTATATTCTTATAAGCTAGAATCATGTATAGTCAAAATATAGAAATCATTAACAATGAAAGCTTGTTCTAGTAAATTATATGAGATCAATATGACTATACCAACCTTACATGAGAGATATATGAATTAATTTTTTTTAATATTAAATCTAACTTACATTTGTCATCTGGAAAATTAAACTTTTTACTTTAAAATAAAAATACAGATCATATAATAGAAGTACTAGGACCCTTGATCATACAGATACTCAGAAAACACAGTGCATGTCTGTCTTACAGCCTAAAAACATTTTGCCTGTTTATTATTATTATTATTTTTACAATTGTTTTTTGTGCCATCTTTCCAAGGGGTTGTCGCTCAAGCAAGATCTGTTCTTGCCTGGCACAGTCGATACAAGTTCTGTCCAACCTGTGGAAGTGCAACTAAAATTGAAGAAGGTGGTTATAAAAGAGTATGTTTAAAAGAAAACTGCCCTAGCCTCCATGGTGTTCATAATACGTCATATCCAAGAGTTGGTAAGACTTCTCTTTTACAGTGAAATCTCAGTCTTCTAGAATCTTGGAGAAGATTCTGAAAAGACAAGTTTCTGAGGAAGTGAATTTACCTTTTAAAAAAAATTACGTTTAAATGAACCATTAAGATGATAAATATTGAAGTATTACCTACTTTGCCTACATAGCTCTGAAGATAAAAGATGCACATAATTAGCCATTCCTTAACACTAGGTTAATCATGAATTTGACATGTTGGGATATGTGATTTCAGAATGTTTACCGGTCTATAGCCACTTCATGGAAAGGAAAATAGACCCAACAATTCAGTGCCTATTTTAGACATCATTAAAACATTGCAGGATGGAGCTAGCTTTGCACTACTGCTGGTGTCCACATGTACCTTCTTCCCTTCTAATTGTTACTTTGGGGTCTGTTCTGGGCTTGAAAAGCTGATAACACAGCCCTTTAAAACTGTGAAAAAGGAATAGACTCAGCAACACCTGAGGAGGTCTCTTGGGAGTAAAGTGCATGGCTTAGTAGCATCTGTTTTTTGCTGCTGAAAAGCATTTTACACTTAATTCCTGATTATCAATCATGATCTACTGAGGAAAATTTACTGGGTTTCCAGAGGGATGAACTGCTATTTTTGTATTTGTTTTTATTATAATGACTAAAGCAAACTTAGCCATTGAGCCATGTTACTTTTAAAAATATTTTACGAAGAATTGGCATGGAAGGAATGTGGAAATTTAATTTTCTATGGTAAAATTTGAATTTTCTCCATGTGAATATATTGCCTTCTCAATTTATTATTTAATTAAATAAAATAAGATTGTGTCTGATATTCCATGAGTATACTCAATGTAGCAGATTAAATAAAGGAAGAACATTTTGCCCTCCTTTTCCAGACTGTAACTTAAAGGCAGCTTCTTTCAGACACTTGTCATCAGCTACATCATGGCAGAAAGAAACAATCTTGTAACAAAATAAGAGAGTTTTTCACACAGGTGATATGTTTATATTATTCTAAAAGATGAAGACTTTGAAAAATGAGTCTAAATTACTATTTTCCTGTAATTTAAATATCTGATTTTTGTTTTCAACAGATCCAGTAGTAATCATGCAAGTTATTCATCCAGATGGGACCAAATGTCTTTTAGGCAGACAGAAAAGATTTCCCCCGGACATGTTTACATGCCTTGCTGGATTTATTGAGCCTGGTAGGCCTTTTATTGTTAATTTTTGTCAATAACTTTCATTTGACTTACATTTTCCAAATAAAATTTAGAACGCATTTGAGAAAAATCTCAAATTATTATGTTATACAGTTGTGATATGTTAAAATATTTTGTATGTATTTTAAATGATATGTTTTGGGTTTGACAAAGGAATAATTTTCTTGTTTTATTCAAAATGTAGTTACTTTATATGTAGTATATGTTTTTTATGTAGTCCTCTTACGCCAGCTGTATGCCTGGTTTATGTCTCCCTGTCTCAACTGTTACCTTTTCAAAGAGGCCTTCCTTGACTGCCCTAATATTACTAGTTAGACCCTACACCCTGTATTCACAACTGCTTTCACGCTGCTTTTTCTCTACAGCGCCAATCACCATCTAACATATATTTATTTGCTTGCTTTCTGCTCTTACTAGAATATAAGTTTCATGCAGACTGTCATATCCTGTAGCAACAATTTGGAAGGCCAGGCAGTATTTCTTTCTGTTGGACATAGGGTTACTATGAGTCAGAACCGACTCAATAGCACTTACAAGTACAAGTGTATCCCAAACCCTTCTAACAGTGCCTGTTATGTACTTGCTCAGTAAATATTTGTTAAATAAATGAATGAATATGCAAGGGGACTTCAAAAAGTTTGTGGAAAAATTTCATTATCTTTCAACACCATTTTCCACAACCTTTTTGTGGTGGTGGTGGTGGTGGTTATGTGCCGTTGAGTCAGTTCCGACCCATAGTGACACCGTACAGGGTTTCTGAGGAGCAGCTGGTGAGCTTGAGCTGCCGACCTTGCAGTTCAGTTCAAATGACTTTGCAGTCTGGCGCATTAACACACAGCGCCACACCAGGACTCCCCCTTTTGTGGTGCTCTGAATTAATGCGCTGGACTGCAAAGTCTGTTTGAACCCCAAGGTCGGCAATTCAAAGCATACTATCCACTCCTTAGAAACTCTATACAGGATTGCCTGGGATTGGAACTGACTTGACAGCATTTAGCAACAACAATATATATAATTAACAAATGAGAGTTTAATCTCAACTTCCAATATTGCAAGGAATTAAGTTATAAGAAACAGGTAGTGCTAAGCTCTTTTTTGTATGAGGCACTGTATGCTAATGCCCTGGACTGAAAAGTCACTTTAAACCAAAAGGTCAGCAGTTCAAGCTCACCAGTTGCTCCTTGGAAACTGTATACAGTTGTTTGGAACCAACTCTACAACACTTAACAACAATTACAACAAACATGTAGTGCCAATCTCTTTTCTGATTGCTTTGCATACTCTAAATCAGGATCCTCATGCAACCTTTCAGTTACAGAAATTTTACAGAAACCAAATAACTTGTCCCAGATCACACAACTAGTAAGTATTGTTGTTAGGTGCTATTGAGTCAGTTGTGACTCATAGTGACCCTGTAGGGTTTCCAAGGATAATCTTATGGATTTAAACTACTGAACTTGTAGTTTGAAGTCCAGTGATGAGCCTACAGAGCCACACCAGGAGTAAGTGATAGGACAGAGCAATCTGGCTGCTAAGTCTATGCACTTACTCTCTAGGCTGCTTCTAGTGCTGTTGTTATTAAGTGCCGTTGAGTCAGTTCCAACTCATAGCGACCCTGTATAGGGTTTCTGAGGAGTGGCTGGTGGGTTTGAACTGTTGACCTTTTAGTCCAGAGCTGACATTACAGCACCACACCTGCAGTCTAATTCTAGTAGCTCTAAGTAATTCATTTTGTTGTTAAGTGCCGTCGAGTCGGTTCCGACCCATAGCGACCCTGCATAGGGTTTCCAAGGAGCGACTGGTGAGCTTGAACCATCAAGCTTGTAGTTCAAATGGCTTTGCAGTCTGGCGCACAACATTTTAGCTGCTGTATAATATTCTATTTTATGAACAGTCTCCAATTCATTTATCCATTCTGATGATGGACAGTTAATTTATTTTAGGGTTCTTGTTATCACCCATACTGCCATGAATAGACATATTTTCAGGAGTTAAGTAGGAGATATACATGAGACTAGAATTGCTAGCTCATAGGAGGTGAGCTTCTTCATCTTTTCCAGATATTGTCAATTTGCTTTGTGGCGTATTCTTGCCAATTTGCAAGAATACCGGCAGTATATGCAGTATTCTTTTACTCCACATTGACACCAAGTTAGAAATGTCAGACTTTTTAACTTGCCAGTTTGGTGAGTATGAAATGCCATTGTGGTTTTTCATTTTTATTTGATAATATTGGAGCTGCTGATGGAGCAGTTTTTTCAGATCTGTACTAGGCATTAAGTTTCTTTTACTCCTATGCCTGTTTTTCTATTGGTTGTCTTTTTATCATTGACTTTAGGAGTTCTTTATCTGTGTTCTATGCTAATCTTATCGTAATGGAATCTTGGTGTAACACTGTAGGTTAAGCACTGGACTGCTAATTGAAAGGTCTGCAGTTTAAACTCACCAGCTGCTTCTTAGAAACCCTATACAAGGTCGCTATGAGTCAGAATTGACTCAAAGACATTAGAAGCAACAGTACTAATCTTGTAGCTATCTTTTGTTAGTTTATGGCTTTCCTTTTCATTATGTATTTTCTTCTGATGAATGTAAGTTCTTACTGCAAAAATTTATCTCTCTATTAAACAAAAATATGTTGTATTTAATAATAAAATATTGCTAAGTTTCCAGATATACTTAGAAACTGTTCCTTCTATTTTAATTTTCAGGTTCAGTGAATCAGAAATATAGAATACATTTATAAATAACATTTTTTCATGTTTAAGTCAACAGCCATCTAGGGGAAAATAATTGCTTAGAATCAAAGAATATTGGATTTTGTTTTATATGATTTTTCAAATTTTCAGTGACTTGAAAAAGTTATCTCCAAGAATTATTTTGTAGCATATTAAACAAAAAAGTTTTAAGGTTTTTATGAGAGGATTAGCCATTTGTAAAAATTATGCAATGAAAATTTATAATGATTTAGCAATAATAGATAAATGAGATAATATATAAAGTACTTCCATAGTGCTTAGTCAATAGCTTGTGCTAGATAGCTGAAAACATTAGTATTCTTTTAATATAACTGATAAATTTGAACCTTTAAGAAATGAAAAGTATTTTGACATTGTGATATTCTATAGTTATATACTTTGCAAAAAATAATGTTTTCTTGAATTCCAGCCTACTTTTAGGTTTTGCTTTCTGATTTTTTGAATTAGGTTCCTTTCCAAGTTTATTTCCAAAAGTTTGAACCATTCAGATCACAAAATGTCCAGGACTTGTATATCAGCTCCTTGTTCTTTTGCTCCTTTTGATTAGGGGAGACAATAGAAGATGCTGTTAGAAGAGAAGTAGAAGAGGAAAGTGGAGTTAAAGTTGGCCATGTTCAGTATGTCTCTTGTCAACCATGGCCAATGCCCTCATCCTTAATGATTGGTTGCTTAGCCGTGGCAGTGTCTACAGAAATTAAAGTTGACAAGAATGAAATAGAGGATGCCCGCTGGTTCACTAGACAACAGGTAAAGTTCAATTGAATTTCCTTCTTTTATTGATCGTTCTCTGACTGTATCTGTTTGAGTATGCAGCAAGAATGCATGTTTTCAACAAGTTGAATGTATGCCCATGATCCTCTCATCATGCATGGATTACCATGTAATTGTTATTTTAATATAGAAAGAAATTGTTTTCACTTATGTGCCCTCTATTAGCCCATTTTGTGATTCTTCTGGTCATCATGGTTCTGTGCCCATTTCTAATTCCAGTATTCCTATTCTCAGATCAATGATAATGCATTTCAATGTACTTAAAAATAGGTACAAGGTATTTCAAAGTTGAGAAACAAGAATGTTTATTTAGGCATTTATGTGTTAGTGTATAGCATTAAAATAAGTAGCTCTCAAAAAATATTAAAAATGTTTAGCTTTTTAAAGTTCTTATTCACTTTAAAATGTACTTAAAGACAAGAATGGTATAACTGTATAACCAAGATATATTTACAAAACTTTTGAAAGCATCATCCTAAAAAGTATAATGAAAGATAAATGTCTTGTATTTGTTTGGAATGACCCAAAGTATTTATTTAAAAACACAAATGGATACATTTTACAATAAGGCCTAAAATCTTTCTGACTTTGTCTAAATAACAACGTTACTGGTACAACCCCCAAATTTAAATTTTATAAAAAAAAATCTGTCCTGAAAATTGGTTTTTGCTTTGAAATTAAATGTGGAGTATTTATCTTACTTTTCTTTTTTTACAATTTTTTTGGAAAGTGTTACACCTTTTTGGATCATTTGAAAAACTGAAGCAGTTAAAAGTACTGTAATAAAATTTACATGTTGAATATGGACTCCTTTCTGTTACTGTTTTTCACTTAAAAAATAACCATATCTGAATGGCATAAGTGTGAACATAGTGTTTCAATATGATAGTGATGAAATCCTAATATATTTTATTATGATGCATTTTAGGTCATGGATGTTCTGACCAAAGGGAAGCAGCAAGCGTTCTTTGTGCCACCAAGCCGAGCTATTGCACATCAGTTAATCAAGCACTGGATAGGGATGAATCCCAATCTCTAAATTAAAGAACCGGGCTCTTTTAAAATATTACCTGATTTTTAATTACCACTTATTCCTCAAGTGAGGTTAGAAATATTCAGTGCTTTTAGAATGTTACAACACAAATATGTCAGATCTATAAAACAGTTTCTGTCTTGAGCTCAGAATTCATAGTCTATAAATTCAGTCTCACGTGAGATTTTGGAAAAATTTGGATCTATCTTCTTGAAAAGAAAAAGATTTTTTAGGTTTTTGGTTGTGATTCACATACACTATCTAATAAAATCATATTTCTAATAAGAAATCATGTTTGAAGAAGTAATGTTTTAGAAATGTGACTAAATCTAAGTTAAAGTCAAGTTTTCCTAGTGTCACTCTCAAGCACTAGAACAGTCTCTAAAGTTCTTAAGTTAAAAAATGAACCAAAATCATTGTAATGAGTCTAGGGTTTATATTGATTTTAAATCTTTTCATTTATGTAGAAGTTCTTTCAGTTGCTCGTAGCTGATTTTTACTCATCTTCCCATCACAGTCCCACTTAGCCTTTTCTCCTAGTTCCTTTGCTCTAATGTAGATGTTATTGATGTTGCTACTTACCTAATTTAATCATTATTAAAATTATTCTATTTTAACAGCTAAATCTAGTGAGCTCAGAATACCACACCCTCATGTAGGTAAAACTCAAGTGACAGCATCATGTATGACATTGCCTCCTTAAAGCTAAAAGGAACTAGTTTTATGTATTTACTTGTACCTTAACTCAAAGTTGTTCTTAAAGCAAATTAAAATTCCTTGTTTTTTCACTACTATATGAAACCTATTTGAAAGGAATTCTTCAACAAGACCAGATATTACGTAAGTTCCAGATGTTGTTTTTGTTGTTAACTGCCATAGAGTTGGTTCTGACATAGTGATCCTGTATAGGGTTTCCAAGGAACAGCTGGTGGGTTCAAACTGACCTCATAGTCCTGTACTTTATCCTACAGTGCCAGAACTCCAGATCGATTTACATATATAATGGAGATACTGTTTTTTAAATCATTTTGTAGGAAGAATGTATCTACCGTAGCATAAATTATATAATCATTCCGATCAATACTTATTATACTCGTATACAGTGTCTTGGTTTTTTTTCTTACTTTAATACATTCTAAGAGTTCTGATGTAGTGCTGTAGTATACGCACTGGACCGCAAGATTGTCTGAACCAAAAGGTAAGCAGTTCAGACTCACTAGACACTTCTCAAAAACCCTATATAGGATCGCTGTGAGTCAGAACCGAGTCTATGGCACTTAATATCAAGAAGCTTTTCTAAAATGAACATATTTTATAAATTAATCAGTAAGATTCTAGATAAAGTAAATTGTTGTAATTGACACTTTTGCAACATAGAAATTCTGTTTTAAAAGGTTACTTATATACATTAAAGTACTTTGACTCTATGCTTTGTATATTAAAACTGGAAGAGATCTTAAAAATGATATATGCTATTCAAAGTCCTTATTTTATACATGAGGAAAGGAAGTTCTGAAAAGTTAATTTCTTCAATTTGCAAAAGTTGCACAGCTAACTAATTACAGTTGCTTTTACTATATAAACCAGCCCAGTATTATCCTTGCAATAGGAACTGGAAACTATTACTAAGAACATATGTAGAATGAATTAAAGAGGAGATGATAAGAATAATAAATTTAACTTACCAAATTTTGTTAATTAAAATTTTAGGTATTTAATATTTATGTAACTTAAAATAACTTTCTAAGGTAAACTTTGTTTTACTAATGAACAGTGATTACTAATATCAAGACTTTAAACCAAATTAAATCTTAAACAGGACAGTTCAATACTTAATATAATTTAAACTACATAAGCATACAGAAAATGACAAGCCTCAATTACTATAAAGTATAATGTCTATAAAATTAATAAGCATATGTAAGTGGGTTATAATGACTTGAGGTTCAGTTTCATCCTCAAAGTACTTTTAATACCTGAAGATTCTATGATTACACCATAAAAATCCAGGTTTCATATTAGCTAAAACCAAATCAAACCCTATGCTGTTGAGTCAGTTCTGACCCATAACTACTCTTAAGAATGGAATTGTCTTCTTGTTGTTGTGTGCCGTGGATTCGGTTCTGACTCATAGTGACCCTGTACAGGATTTCTGAGGCTGTAAATCTTTATGGGAGCAGAAAGCCTCATCTTTCAACCGCGGAACAGCTGGTAGTTTCGAAAGCTGACTCTGAGGTTAGCCTGATTCGTAACCACTGTGCTACCAGAGCTCCTTAGAATTGTCTTCTAGAGGGTTCCAAAGCTGTAAATTTTTAAGGAAACTTACTACTTCATCTGTCTCCCATGAAGCTATCAGTAGGTTTGAGCCACCAACTTTTGGGTTATAGTTAAGTGCTTAACTACTGTGCCACCAGGATCCGTTTAATATTAGAATTGTTGTTATTGTTGTTAAGTGCCATCGAGTTGGTTCCAATCCATAGCAACTTTGTGTAGTTTCCCAGGAGCTTCAACTGTAGATTTTGTGATTCAAACGGACCTTGCAGTCTAGTGCATTAGCCCACAGCACCAACCAAGAACTCCAATATTAGAATATGAAAGTAAAATATGAAGTATTAACAAAATACAGTTACAAATTTAATTTCTATGTAATCAATCCTGTGCTCAGGGAAAATCATATCTAAATAAATCATTGTTCTAACAGCTATTAAATTACTGACCTCTGAGATGTAGTAGCTATGTAGCAATAAAAGGAATAGCCAATTCAAGAAATGGTAGGGGTCCAAGTGCCACCAATGTAATTTAATGGAAACGTATGTAACAACATATTAAAATATTTAACTATTTTCTCTCTTCTGTATTCTGTACATTAAAAAGTGTTTAGGTCATTTTTTTTAAATGGAAACAGTTACATGTTGGGTCTATTTGTTTAGAATAATAAGGTGTGCATAAAAGTACAAAAGTTTAAAAAATTTCATATGTAGACAACTTAAAATTTGTATTTGAATCTTAAATCTTACATTTTTGGTCAGACATAATACACAAAGATGTAAATGTATGCATTGTTGTTGAGTTGGGAAAATGATTAGGTATTTAATAAATCCACTTACGGATTTGAGTGTAGAGAAAAAAAGAACGGAACACAGGATGAGACCATCAGATGGAAGAAGGAAGTATAAATTTATTAATAAATCAAATAAACTGGGTTAAATCTCACATAACAAATCACAGTAGACTGCCAGTCATACAACTACATTGCTGTTGAAGATTCAACAAAATATTAAGTGAAAGTATTCTATAAAACAAATTCTTTAGTAATTTATAATAAAAATTTTAGAGTAAAAACTTTACTGGGGCTTTTTGGAACAAATGTGGTATACTGAATTGCTGTAATGTGACCCTTGTAGCTCTAGTAATGTAACACCCACAAAATGACTGGTTGGGATTATGCAAATAATGTGTTTATGATCCACCAAGGGCATTGAGCAGCCTACAAATGCAAATGAGGTATATGGAACCCTTGCAGAAGTGCAACTAGAAAATAACTGCATATAACCCTTGTAAAGCATTGGTCAGTTTTAGCATTTTAGGCTTAAAGGGAGTCAGTGCCAGAAGTTGGAAGGAGCTTCACTACCATCAAGAAGAGCTAGAAGTGGAGTGTTTACTTTGGGCCCAATGTTCGTATGCTGAGAACAGTTTAGACTCAGGCTAAGAGTGTCCAGGCCCATAGTGAGGTACCATGCCAAGAGCAAGAACAGAGAACAAGAGGCAGACCTGGGCAGGCAGGGCCTGTGGACCTAGCATAAAAAGTCAGATTAAAGAACTGTACCTGAGCTATTGCCATTACTCTGTTGATCCTAATATTGATTGTAACCTATTATCTAATCTGTGTTGTAAGAAGTACAACCAGAGTGTTCCTTAGAAGCCAAGATGGCTAGACTTCACCTCATATTATCAAGAGGGACCAGTTCCTGAAAAAGGGGCAACATGCTTGGTAAAGTGGAGGGTCAGTGAAAACGAGGGAGACCCCCCAATAAGATAGGTTAGCACAGTGGCTATAGCAATAGACTCAGGCATAGCAACAATTGTGAGGTTGGTGCAGGACTGGGCAGTGTTTTGTTCTGTTGTACATGAGGTCATTATGAGTCAGAACCAACTCAATGGCACCTAACAACAACAACGACAATTTCCCTAATAAGCCCAACAATCATGAGTATAGACTGTAAGTTCTGTGTGGCCACTGCAATTAAATAACGAACGCAACAGTATAGTACTGTTAAGGACTGCTGGTGTCCGAATTCATATATAATTTAAAGAATGGAGTTATGTGTGATCTCTACCTCAGCTTTGGGTTGATTCTCTCTCATCACCATGAAGTTAGGTGCAATCTAATCCCACCGTGGTATAAACAGTTATTAATTGTGGGCTGAGGGTGGTCGGTATTGAGTGAAATTTTTGTATTCAGCTTAGAAGAGGAAATTTTCTCGAGAAAGAAAAATTGTTGTTTAAGTTCTGTGGAGTCAGTTCCAACTCAACAATCCTGTATAATGTTTCTGGGTGGGGCTAGTGAGTTTGAACTACCAACCTTGCAATTCAAACCAACCTTACAGTTCAGGGCATTATCCCATAGCACCACACCAGGACTTGTATATATTGTTAAATGCCATCAAGTCAATTCTCACTCATAGTGACCCTGTATAGGGTTTCCAAGGAGCAGCTGGTTGGTTTGCACTGCCAACCTTGCCATTAGCAGTCTAGTGCTTATCCTGCAGCATACAGGGCAAAGTAAATGCATAGTACAAAACTAGGAGTTTCTCTAGTAAATGCCAGAGGACTAGGTCTTGAGGCAAAGTACAAGCACCAGCAAAGGGATTTGAAAAGAAAGACAAGCAAATTTGACATTCAGTGCCGATGGGGAGGGTGCTGGATACGGGAACCAATTGCTTAGAGGCTTATCTCCATAGAGTGGTTAAGAGACCAAGAGATTTCTTTTGCTGATACAGGAGTAA